CCCGAAATAAGCCTAAGACGCGCATCACTACAACTTGAAATTCCCAGAACAAGAATTCAGTTTTATTAAACGACAATTACTAAAGCCTTTTCATTTTCAAAAAGTTCAGGAACTTAAACCAGAAGATTTGCCGCGAAGAAGAAATTTTGGCTTATGGAGTCTTCAACGTTATAACCGAAATCCGGAATTTCTGAAACGATTTTTTTTACCGATGAGGCGTGCTTTACAAAAGATGGAATAATAAATCTACATAACCTTCATTACTGGGCCATGGCAAATCCACACGTCATAAGACAGACTCGTTCGCAAGATAAATTTTCAATTAATTGCTGGGCTGGAATTGTCGGAGATTTCATCATCGGTCCACATTTCTTGCCCCCTCGATTAAATGCTGAAACCTACCTTCATCTTTTGGAACATGAACTACCAATTCTTATGGAAGATGTTTTCCTCGATATTAGAGAAAATTTATGGTTTATGCACGATGGTGCCCCACCACACCGGGGGCGGTTCGTAATTGAGTGGCTAAATGAAAATTTTCCAGGACGTTGGATCGGTAACAATTCCCCCAATGTAGCTTGGCCAGCCCGTTCTCCAGATTTAAACGCTATGGACTTTTGTTTCTGGGGAGCCATGAAGGATCGCGTCTATGCTGTGCCAATTAGAACTCGCGAACAATTACAAGAACGAATCCTTGCCGCGGCTGAAGAAATTAGACAGATACCCAACATTTTTGAGAAAATACTTCAAAATTTTTCAAAACGTTTGCGGTCCTGTGCTGAACAAATCGGCTCACACTTTGAGCACGTTTTACGGAATTGATTACTTTTAATTAAATTTAAATTTAATAACTGTTAAAAACTTTACAAAACAATTTGAAAATTTAATAAAATGGTTTTTATGTTTATTATTATTAACGTTTTCCTGCATTGGGCCTTCTTACAGAACCCGTCTCCACAAGTCGCCGGTGCACGCGCGATAACATCGAATGACATGGAACTTCCATGATGGAAGTATTAGTTGGGGAAATCGGCCAGCGTATAGTCTACGCGTGAGACGTGAATTTCCATGGGCCTCTCCGTAAATCAGGTGCATTTGGACTTTTTCACGCACGGAAAATCTCACCATTTTTTTCGAGAGAAACAGAAAAGATGATAATTTGACAACTGATCAATGATAACTGTCAAAAAATTAATTTATTTGTCACTTGCCAACGGCAGCCACCTACGATTAACACGTAAGAATTTCATACGAATGTCGATATGCATTCAATCACATTTTGCCATTTTTCTCAAAAACATTAAGTTTTACCAAAAAAAATTCAAAATTCAAAAGACAAAACTTTCTAAATTGAATGTCCTTCCTTACGAGTTCATATTAAAAAAAAATAAAAAATACGCAACCAAAGTTTTGTGGCTCCAAAGACAAGGGGGCCTACTAAAAAGCGTCTTAAGGGGGTCCCCAGCCAAAAACCTTAACACTATCAGATTCCACATATCAAAAAACCCCTGTATACCAAATTTAGTGCTTCTCGTACAACAGGGTTCTGAGATATAAGAAAAAGACTATTCTTATGGGCTACTTTTGGGGGGCTGTATCTCCGAAAAAGGGGGCCAATTGGCAAAACTAAAAAATACGTGTCCTCTAAATTTGTCTCGAGAATCTGTGACCAAATTTTGTTGCATTAATTTCCGGACACCCTGTATAGGAACTTCACAGGCTATGAATATTTCGCCTCTCTCAACGGTGTAGTGGGTTGACGCGGTTTGCGCCTGGATTTTTATTTGTCATTTATGCTTAGAAAGATTGATTAATTTTATACTTTTTATTGTGTAGAACTGTTGTAAAAGTACACTTGTAATAGGTAAAAAGCTAAATACAAAAAGTAGTTCGTTCCTTTATTTTGAAGTTGAGGCGCGGCCTCAAATGCTTACCCTGACGTAAGTTTTTTCAAAGTTTGTTTTTTTACAATTTTGACCTAAAATTCGGATTCTCGGACCCCAAAAAAATAAAGGTATTTATTTTCAAAAAATTTCGCTCTCTATTTGAATTTTGGCCAGCTTTTTATGTGTTTCCGACCACTGGGTGGCGACTGCTTTTAATGGGACTTTTTCAGTGTAAATAAACACAAGCACCTATGGGTGTGCTTTCTTTACTGGTATTTAAAAATATTCACCACCTATTTAACCACAAAATATTTTAAAATAAATTTAATATAATAATTCTATTTTATTTGCAGAAGATATTCAAGTAGTTTCAATAGTGTTAAACTTAATAAAAATTGCAGTCACAAGTACATATTTTCAAAGATTTAAATCGCAAAAGTTGTCTGGAAAACAATTCCTCTGAGAAACCTCTATTACATACCAACTCTACCATTGAGTTTAGAACTGGAGTGTTAATTCCTGTATCAAAAGTAAATAGACTTTCTAGTAGAACTGTACAAAAAGTAAGTAACTTAAATAAAATTACAAAAGAATTGCACATCTCAAAGTTTAAAATCTGAAATAGGTACCAGAAATTAAAGAAACAAATACAATAATATACAAATATTTCCAATTTAAAAAATAATATACATGAATTAAATTTGGAAAGTAACGTAAACACAAATCATTCAGTTGAATTCTTGAGAAGAAATAGCAGTGACTATTATTTAAAGCCCACAGAAGCAATATTGGAATCTGAAGTAGGCAAACCCTAAATGAAAAGTAGCAACAACCTCAACTAAAAACACTTACAGACGAGTAAGCTATTTAACAGACTCAATTAAAAATAATTCTATAAAAGAACATTTAAGTAAATTTCCTGAAACTATTCGAGCTGAGCCTACTTTTGATATTAAACAAGTGATTGATGTTAAAGGAATGCCAGAAGATGATCTTGCAGTAAAGTTAATAGGTTTAATTAGGTAGTTCACATTTCTTTTGGCAAGAGTTTTGTCAGCCTTTGCCTATTTTTTTTTCCATGAGGCTTTTATCATATCCCATTTTATTATAGTTTTAGCTTTTTTACTGTATGATCTAAAATCAGATTTTGTAAACAAAGGAAAAGTTTGGTTTTCTTCTTTTTATTGGATATATTTATATTTTTTGTATAATTGAGTTTAAGATAAAATTTAAGAAAGATACTTTTATGTATTATGGATACTTCTTTTTGGTCTTTTTGGAAAATTTTGTCATGTGTATGATATGGTTCTATGAAAAATTGGAGTTTCTAAAAAATGATTTTTTGTTGAGATGGATGTTTTGTATTATTGTATCTTGTTCTTTAATCAGTTTTTCATTAATGGTATTTTACATGACAATTAATAAGCCTGAAAAAGTTGTAATTAAAACTTAAATAGTAATTGTGGTACTTATGCAGTATAATCAGCAAGTATTGTTTCAACAAGTCATGCCACATAATTTGGACAAAATAACATCCTGCCCATAGAGATCCTGCATTTTTGCCATGTTAACTTAAAATTGTTAAGTGACAAAACAATGTATAAGGGTGGATCGAATTAAAAAAAAAAATTAAATCATTAAATAAAAAAATTAGAAAGATTTCCCTTAGGTGCCCCAACCCTATTTTCTTTATTCCCGCCTCATGTGAAAATTGTTCTGGTATGTGTAAAAAGTGCGTGAACAGAGATTGGAAACAGTTGGATTATTTTTGGAGATGCACCAAGTAGTCCAACTAAGAAATAAGCATTTTGTTGAATTTATAATAATAATATAATGTTATATTTTGTTATCTTTCTGGTAAAATTAACTTTTCAAAATAATGTTGTTTAAGTATAAGGTATATATTTGTTCTTTATTTGCCAACCCCTCCGAGATGTCTTCGTTAGTACTTCCCATAAATGGGGACATTAAACCTCTCTTGTTTTCTAATATCATTTTAATCTTTGGGACTTTGGGTTTTTCTTAAAAAAAATAGAATTTTGTCAACTGGAAAATTTCTTTCATTGAAACAACATGAGTAGTTTTCAGCTTCTTCTCTACCCTTATATGGTTTCAAAACCTTTTTGTAATTGCTATTTTCAAATATTTTTGTAAATGATATTATGGTGATAGAACTTTTCTTCCATATTAATTCCGTCTTTGCGACCCTTGTTAAAATTAGTAAAGCGGGTTCTTGTTTGCCACAACGCTTTTTGTCTCATTTCTGATAAAGAGAAAGTATCGAAGTATGTTCGCATTTGTGGGAAGTTCTACCAAAGACATCTTGGAGGGGTTGACAAAAAAAGGACAAATAGACAATTTTCTAGTTGGGATTGTGCTTAAACTTGTTATATCTGGAAGAAAAAGTGCTAAAATATAATAATACATAAACAACACTGCTTAGAAAACTTTATTTTATCAGAATAGCTATTTGTGTATTAAGAGCGCAAAGTGATACATTGCCGCTCTGACTGAGAGGATTGAGGCGCAACGCAAGGCTATCTCGCGAGAGCAGCAATGTCACTTTGCGCTCGAATTACACACAGGATTTTTTCTACAACCGTTTTTATAAAAATGTTTGTTAATAATTAATTATTATTAATAATCTTAAATTTAAATCTTGTGTCAAAAGTCGACACGTTTCTTTATTTGGTTTCCATGGTAACTAAGCGAGCGTTTTGGTTACTTTTTTGCTCGGCGAGCGACAAAGTAAAAAAAACGCTCGCTCCTCGAAAAAGTGCAACTTTGCGCTTTGTTTTGAAAACCCAAATTTTTACTTTTCGCTCGGTTGTAGAAAAAGATATTTTCCAAATTACATAAAAGTTTAATTCTCAATAATCCAACTTTGTACATGCACTTTTAACATACCAGAATAACTTTTACATAGGGTTTTTACAACTTTTGCCAACTGGGCCAATATTAAAAAAATAAAAACATTTTCGATCCACCCTAGTTTATATTTATACCTTAAGAAAAATAGAAAGTATTAACAAAAAATGTATTTAATTTAATATATTTTGATCCACCCTAGTTTATATTTATACCTTAAGAAAAATAGAAAGTATTAACAAAAAATGTATTTAATTTAATATGGTTTATTTCAGGAAAAAGATGTTAATAAACTTTAAATGTTTATTCTTTTTAATTTCACAGTTGAAAATAGTTCCCTAATTATTAAAACGAAATTCATTTTAAAAGGTGTTAAAAATAAACAGGTAAAAAAATTGATCTTTAACTAACAATATCGATGATTACCAGATTTAAGGTACCTAATATGATAATTTAATGTGGTATAATAAATGATCAAAATATCATTAATATTAACAATTAAAACAAAGTCAGTGGAACTGTCAAATTATTTTAAACTCCTTGCCTAGTTGAAATTTTTGATATACACCAGAAAAACCTTATTAGGTGGTGTCTGGTGTCTATCTAACAACTAAAAATCATTAAATACAGACTAAAACCTAGTTAAAAATCTGAGCATGATATTTTACTTCATAAAAATTACATAAATAAAAACCAATTTGTACATTTGTACATAAACAAGAAAATATTAATAATTCATGCTCGGATTTTCTTATGTACGGTCATTTTATATTTATTTCCTAATCATCACATTATTCAAAAAAGCCCGATATTTACATAATTTAAATAACAACAGCGCAAAAACTAAATAATATTCAAAATCTGCAAAGCTTCCCAATTAAAAGGTTTACAATTTCTCAGTTAATAGTTAATTCAAATTAAATAAATATCCCACTATTGAAGCTGCTGCGTCAATTTATCATAAAAAAATATATATTTACATAAAACAAACTAAAATGAGCGTACATACTTATACCTCCATAATATGAATACAAGTAAGGAAGCAAGACAGTGTCTAAACGCAGATAATTAGTCGATAATTTTGTCCATCATGTGATCAAAATTTAAATCCTTCATTTGGAACATTGGTGCTAGGGTCAAAAGTATAACCAGTATCCACAGCAACAGGGGCCAAGTTAGGATCGTCTTCATTCTAAAATTGATCCAGATAATTAAAACCTTATTATATTATTTAGTTATTAACACTTACATCGCCACTGAAATATTGCTCAATAATATCATAAGCCAATTTATAGATTTCAATGTTACTGTGGTTTTGCAGAGACTCGATTTTGTCCAATCCTTGGCATTCCTCAATCATTGTACACAATTGTTCTACTTCAGCATCAGCCATTTTCAGCATATTATTAATTCCATCCAATACAACCTAAATTAATATAAACATTACATTTTTATATCTTTAATTATTTTACTTAACAATAGAGACCTTTATATTTTTGTTTATAACTTACCTGAACAACCATGGCATCCTTGCAGTTTAATAAGTCGCAAAATGGTGGAATAACACCTTCACGAATGAGTGTAGCAACTTGCTCTTTATTTCCTCCAATTGTAAGATTACTTATTGCCCAGGCAGCTTCCTTTTGGGTTTGGAAGTCTCCTTTGCTTAAATTGTGAATAATTTTTGGTATGAGACCAGCATCTATAACTGCTTGAACTTGAGTTTGATTTCCAGCTGTAATATTGGACAGGAACCAGACTGCTTCCTTGCAAATTTTGTCTTTGGGATGTATGAGCAAAGCAGGGAAATGTGAAAGTGCCCCACAGTTGAGAACAACCTGAACATTATGAAAGTTCGTTAAGAAAGAGCAAGGTGCTTTTAATATACGTATTTTAGCTACTCACTTGAGTTTGTTCATCTGTTCCAGTGACAATATTTCCAACAGCTCTTAAAGCTGCAGTCTGAACTTTAACTTCCTTATGACTTAATAAAGGAATTAGTTTTGGAACAACTCCACTTTCTATGACCATTTGAATTTGTTCATTTCCACCATCAGTTAAATAGCTTAGAGCCCAAACAGTGTCCACCAATATCTGCAAAACAAAGTTTTAAATACCAAATTTGTTAATTATTATATTAGAAGTAAACACCAGTACTGATTCCAAGAGACCTAGAGAGAGATTCCACCCGAATTAAGCATCCTAGTAGATTGCTGGTTGAAGAACTGCAAGCTCTAGCTAATAAATGAACATATATTTCTTATGTTTTCTTTACAAACACATTTTTTTTCAATTCTTTTTTGCCCCTTATTCCAGGGACTAGGATTAAATCACTGATTTGGAATACCTCTCAACTCACTCCCGATCGAAACCTATTTCGATCTGCAAAGTATCTCTCCAGATGAGTTAAATTATACCGCTCTCGTAGTGATTCGATACATTAAGGATTCAATCCCAAAAGTATCAAAACACTTCTACTCTTATAAAGACTAAATACCTAAAAGATTTATATTCTAAATGATAACCATAGTTTAGCTACTTTTGAGATTTATTCATTTCAGAGTATTTATATTATTGCTCATTTAAGATTTAATCCTTTTCGGAACCCAGTGATTAAATCAAAGTAAAATTATCAGATGATATAATTAATTAAATACTGGTAATTTATTAATACTGGTTATTAAATTAATAAATTGTAAAATTATATTAAATTAATTTTATAATTTTATAAAAATACCTTAATATTATTGTTAATTTTTAAAATTATTTTATTGATATATGGTATATATTTATTTGGCAAATTTTATAAAAAAGTGGTATTTATAATAACATTAATAATGTTACATTATACATTACATTACTCTATGATTAAACTATATATATCAATATTATGGTAATAATCATTACAAAAATAACATAAGTAGATGGGTATCAATAAAATGATTTAATAATAACAATTTAAAAACAAAATAATTGCCACCCTATTTATTTATGTTATTATTGCAAATAAACCAGGGTATCTATAAAAAGGTCTTAATAATTACAATTTAAAATATTATATTAATTACCCCCTTCTTCCCTGACAATTTATTAAACTTTTTTTCTGAAGAATTAACGTGGCAAGAAATGGTGTTAAAAATTACAATTTAAAAAAATATAATAATTACCCCCCTTCTGTCCCCTATTTTATTACATTTTTATATTGCAAAGTTAACATAGCATGATGGATAATTGAAAATTTTGAGACCTTTTTATAGATATTTATCTTGACATGTTAATTTTGAAATATAGAAACCTAATAAACTGGGGGGAAGAGAGGGGGTAAATAATATAATTTTTTTAATTGCAATTATCAAGACCTTTTTATAGATACCCATCTTGTTATGTTAATTTTTAAATATAAAATTTATTAAAATTAGGGGGAGGGAGGGGGTAATTAAAATATTTTTTTAATTGCAATTATCAAGACCATTTTATAGATACCTATCTTGACATATTAATTTTAAAATATAGAAACTTAATAAACTGGGGGGTAGGAAGGGGGTAAATAATATAATTTTTTTAATTGCAATTATCAACACCTTTTTATAGATACCCATCTTGAAATGTTAATTTTGTAACATAAAATTTTTAAAAATTAGGGGGAGGAAGGGGGTAGGTAATTAATAATATTTTTTAAATTGTTATTATCAAGACATTTTTGTAATTACCAATGTTGTCAGATTAATTTTGCAATATATTTTTTTTTTAAATAAGGGGGCAGGCAGGGGGTTATTATTATATATTTTTTAAATTGAAAATTTTAAGACCTTTTTATAGATACCCATCTAGACAAAAATCTATAAAAATGTTTTACTAAAAAGTTATAATAATAATCAATAATTATTAATAATAAGTAATTATTAATTACCAATTATTAATAACTTTTTAGTAAAAAAATTATCTTATATTGTTAATTTTAAAATTTCTTTGTTAATTTTTTTTTACTTTAAATGTTTAAATTAATGTTCTCTAATAATTAGTCTAATTAAAAAAGTAAAACTATTTTTAATACATGCCCAACTCTTTATAGTAGCAAAACCAAGCCCAAGCGTAAACTTAAAAGTTTTAAGTTAAAACTCTTAAAAAGATTAAATCCTTACCGATCTCGTTGGGATTTAATCCCAATATGATCTGGTATGATTTAATCACTAAAGTATCAAAACTTTCTATACATCGGAGAATATAACTCGTAAGATCGAAATTATTTTAAGGCGTTTAAATATCGCTTAGATTAAATCTCGCTGCCGTCTCGACTGTTCGCATCACCGATGATTCGAACTGGTTTGGCCGAATTTAACTCGCTCAGGGATCGAAACTAAAAATGAGTTTAAATACTACTCCTAGTCCCTGCCTCATTCTAATATAACTTTTGATTTCCTAACACATGCACATATATTACATTTTTATTTTAATTAACCTTGGCTGAAGGACCTAGGTCAATTGCCTTTTGATTGTTGTAATTTTTGTAATTTATGATAATCAAAAAATAATAATTATTATTATTACTATTGAAACACACAGGGTCTTCCGCGGCAAATTTTGTTTTTAAATTTAAAATTACTTAAAATGAGGAAATCAGTTGGTATGGATCGTTCTTTGCCTAAAAGCCTATTACCAAAACCCCAATTTATGTATCGCCGCGCGGAGGTTTCTCTCGGCTCATTATGCTACATGAGAGAATTGGGTAAAGAAATTTGAGCAGGCACACACCAAAAAAGGAAAGAGGCCCTGGGTGTTTTAATTCACTTTTAAAAATAAAACTTGCCACGGGAAACCTCTTTTAAGATTTTATGAACAGTAGATTTTAATAAATGTGTGCAGCTGAATATAATAATATTAATAAACGTCTTTAATGATATAAGAAAATACGAATAGAACGGCGCGGATGGTCACAACAGCCTCTTGCACTTGCTCACATTTTTGTGATGTTCGATGGTCTCACGGGGGCCTCTTTCCTTGTTCGGCGTTTTGTTACCTGTTTCCTCAAATCTCTAATTTTACTAATGGAGCACGTTTAATGTGTTACAAGCCTTAATAAGTCGAGAAAAATATCCGCGCGACGATAAATAATTGTTGTTTCTGTAATAGGCTTTTATGCAAAGGTCTTCACCCGTGATGCGACCCATCCAACTGATTTCCTAAAGGATGACCTTTATAACAAGCAGACACTTAAATGCCGCGGAGTCTCATTTCAAGTTATTTCAGATTTAATTGACCAAGAAATAAATTATATGAAGGAAAAACAACAGCAAAAAGTGAATAAAAGAGTTAACTAACTTACAGTTATCGTATTAAAAGTATTAATACTTTGCGACAAACTCGCTAGATATATATTAATTAATATTTTGCAAGCATTTCTCTTATCACCGCTTTTGTTTAATTTCGTTCGGATCTCATGCCAGCATCGACAGACGCGTTTCGTTCTGTGGAACTCATCAGTGCCGAGTTGCTATAGGCTCGAGACCCAAACGAAAACTTTAATTCCTTTCCTTATATTGGAAAGGAATAGTACAAAAGCGGTGAGAAGAGAATTTGCCTGCACAATGGTGCCATCTATCGTTTTTCAACGCGGTTTCTATATGTCATGACATTATCTGTACGGGACATATAGCGTGCTTTACGCCATCTATGACCTGAAAGATGTATAGCCCTCCCGGCTAGGTAATTTCTTACAGTTATCGTATTAAAAGTATTAATACTTTGCGACAAACTCGCTAGATATATATATTATATATATATTGTTAGACGTAAGTTTAAAAAGCCGTACTAGGTTAGGTGGCCACTGGAGGGCGCCACTACTCGGATGGTAAAAACGGGAGCTGCCATCCCGACGGAGAAGAAGAAGAAGAGAGCGTTGTTTTGGAGTAGATAAGCTTGGTGTCATTTTTAATTTTAAAATAAATTAAAACAGTTTACCGGTCATATTATTTAAAATACCTGACAACAAATTCAGAAGTGAGATCTGGATCGAGAGTGCAGTGCCTGGAGAAAATAAGTGGTGATTAACTGTTGTTGTATAAAGCCGATTTGTGGTTAGGTGTGCCACGTGCTGAAATTCAATTGGAGACAAAAGGAGGACAATTATTACGTTTAATTGGAGACTTAGTTGGAGTAGAGTCGAAACAAAGGTGAGGCGCATTCGTTATATTAATAGTTGGAGAAATTTTAGAGTTTTTATAAAATGAGCGACCACCTGTCGATCAATTTGGAGGATGACGAGGCTATGCTGAGTCAGTCAGAGCAGGGTTCACGCAGGGAGACGGCTGCCGGTCAAAATGAACCAGTTGCTGACAACATGGCTGTAATGCGTGGCTTATTTAAGGAGTTGCTCGAGCAGCAAGGACGGATGTTGCTTGATCAGCAGCGTCGAACAATAAGACAGGAGTCACGTCTAGCTGTGGGAGAATGTATGGAGGAAATCGCTAGTACGCCATCTAGCCATAGGTACGACAAGTCCTCAAGCAACTATCGAGGTGGGGTTATAAGCTTGGGACAGGAGCTGGTGATGCCGTTTAACCCTGAAAATAAGAGCACCAATGTGGAGAGGTGGCTCGAGAGAGTTCAGGAGTTAGCTGAAGCTAATGCGTGGACTGATAAGGAGCAGTTACTAATCGCGCAGGCCAAATTGGAGGGGGCTGCTCGTGAATGGTACAATGGTGTCCGAGCTCCGAGAACGTGGGAGGAATTTTCAGGAGGTTTGACAGCGGCATTTCCAAGAAGAGCTGATTTTGCTGACACCCTTAAGCAAATGGTGCTTAGAGTCAAACAAGATGGAGAGAGTTTGACTAATTATTATCATCGAAAGTTGGAGATGATGCGTAGAGTGGACCTGCATCAGGGGGAGCGTGCAGTTTCGCTGCTTATTCAGGGCTTGCCGGAGGATCTCAAAATTGGAGCTTTGGCGTCCAACTGCAAGACCCCTGAAGCATTGTATACGAGGTTTTTAACTTCGGTGCAAGCAGGGCAAGAATTCTGCAAGGAGCAAAGATTGGAGAAGAGAAGTGGAGCCTCTACCAGCGGCGTGTCGCGGATTCGCTGCTACAATTGTCAGG